CGAGGTATTTTATTAACTTATCAGGTTTATATTTGTGGTTAGAAGCAATATAAAGAGCAACACTATAATGATCAGTTACGGTTGTATGGAATATAAGACAACGTGCAGCAGATTTTGTTTTTAACATAACATGGTCCAGGCTTGTTTTTATACGAGTTGGACTTGTGTGTGCAGGAAGTATACCACGGTAGGCCAACATATCCAGATATGTTGCGGAAGCCGAGTCAACACTGTCACGTCCAATGTCAATAGTTAGTTAGTTAGTTAGTTTTTCAGGGCGGTTTCCGCACTTAGTTCTAATTATTGGACCATTGTGCGTGTCTCAAAACATTCCCGCTTACTCCAGCCAGCCTATATCGGTCCAGAAAGAAAGCAGCCTTGGTAGACTGCTGCAAGCTTCCGGAAACGATTCTGGTGACTGGAGAAGTCGTGCCCGTTGGTCGGCCACACTCCTGCATTCTATGATGACATGCTGTGGCGTTTCTTCTGCCTCCATGCATCCTCTGCATAGGGGGCTGTCTGTAACTCCTATTGTATATAGGCGTTTGTTTAGGGGACAATGACCAGTCAGGGATCCTATAATCCTGCGAAGTTTGTCCCTATTTAGTCTGGTAAGGGTGCGGGCAAAACTTTTATTTACCGCCGGAACCGCGTTTTTCGTTTGCCGGCATCCTTCACCTGTTTTCCACTCCGTCAAGTGTGTTTTATGAGTTATTTCACGCAGCCACGTTTTAATTTGGGCCTGAGGTATGGGCAGCAAAGGCTCCGGACCATACACCTTTGTGTCTGCTCCCCTCTTAGCCAGTTCGTCTGCTGCGTCATTTCCAATTGAGCTGCTGTGTCCTTTTATCCATTGCAGAGTTACCGTGTTGCTAACCGCAATGGATTGAAGTGCCTTGTGGCACTCCATTACTAGGACAGAGTTTATTGTGTTGCTACGTAGGGCTTGAAGCACGGATGCACTGTCAGAGATGATTTTGATGTTATACCCTCTGATATCTCTGGCTGCAACCGCCTGTGCCGCTCTGGTAATGCCAATACATTCCGCCTGGAAGATTGTACTTTGTTTGCCTAAGGTTGTAGATATTTTTATATTCAGGTCGTTTGAGAAGACACCGGCTCCAGTGCCACTGCTGGTTTTGGAGCCATCCGTGTATATCCTAACTTCCCCGGCGCCAGAGTAATCTGCCTTTTCCGCGGTAAGTTGGATGTTGTATCTTCGATCAAAGACGTGTTGACTTAATATTCTATCCATAGGTGCCCCCAGGAGTGGGATCTCCTTCGTGCACTTTTGTAGAATATTGGAGTGTGTTGTTACAGTATTTAATCTCCATAATCCTAGAGACTTTAGTCTCAATGCTGCTGCTTTCGCCTCTTCTTGTATGACCAGGTCCAATGGTCTTAAATTCATGAGGTACTCTAATGCAGCCGATGGAGTTGTTCTCATGCATCCAGTTGCTGCTACGCTCGCCAAGCGTTGTAGACTTTGGAGTTTGGATTTCACTGTGGTCAGTTGGGTCCTGGGCCACCAAACAACTGAACCATAGGTTATAGAGGGCCTGATGACTGCTGTGTATAACCAAAGGGTGATCTTTGGACTTAGACCCCACTTTTTACCAACTAGTCTTCTACACTGATTAAAAGCTATGCAGGCCTTCTTTGTTTTTAAATCAATATGACTCGCCCAATTCAATTTGTTATCAAGAATTACGCCCAGATATTTCACTTGTGTTGATTTTGAGAGTTTGGTATTAAACAGTTTTGGTAACTGTAGTTCAGGTAGCTTCCTTTTGTTGGTGAAAAGGACTAGCTCTGTCTTGTTCGGGTTTACTGACAAGTGATGTTCGTCACACCATTTTTCCACAATCTGAAGGGCTGAACGCATAACCTTGCAAAGGACATTTTCAGCGTTCCCATTTATCAGAATTGTTAGGTCGTCCGCATAACCAATATTAGTGTATCCTCTGTCATTCAGACTCCGTATGAGACTGTCCACTACTATGTTCCAAGTGGTGATAGGACTCCCCCTTGGGGGCATCCTCTGACTACCTTCGCACGCGTGGTAGCATTTCCCACTATCTGAACCGCCCTTTTGCCAACCAGTTCGATGATCCAACCTCTGGTGACTTGGTCCACCTTGAGTTTTCTTAGGGCGTGGTTAATGCTGTTGTGCATCGTTTTGTCAAACGCACCTTCTATGTCTATGAAGGCTGCCAGTGTTGAGTTTTTATTTGTGATTGCCGACACTATTTTGTGGACTACTGAATGCAGTGCCGACTCTGTTGATCTGCCTTTCCTGTAGGCATGTTGTTGAGGGTGCAGCGGAGCCTTACTTAGTGCTCCATCCCTAAGGTGTCGGTCTACCAGTCTTTCCAATGTTTTTAAGAGAAAAGAGATTAGGATTATTGGTCTGAAGGATTTGGCTTGTGTGTAGTCGTCCTTGCCTGGTTTCGGTAAGAAGACTACTTTTGCCTCCCTCCATGGTTTTGGTATGTACTTGAAGGCCAGGCAGGCCCTAAAGATAGGTTGTAGGTATCTAATTGCCTGACCTAGTTGCCATTGTAGTAGCGCCGGGAATATACCACCTAGTACCGCTGACTTAAATGGTTGAAAGCTTTTTAGAGCCCATTCTATCTTTTCCGCCATTACTATTGTTTTTGCCAGGTCCCATTCCTGGGTTGTTGGTGCATTGTGGTGCTCAGTCGACCACTCCAGGCCTGGCGCCAGTTGGCATCCTGGGAAGTGGGTTTCCAGTAGCACCGCATTGGCTTCTTCTTCTGTTTTTGTATAAGTGCCGTCTTCCCTTTTCTGAGACCCAAGAAGGTTGGAGTTGTCCTTGGACAGAACTTTCTTGAGTCTGGCAGCTTGATTTTTTGAATTGACACTACTACAGAAACCGCGCCATCCTTCTCTACTCCGGAATCTGATCCGCTTCTTGTAGTTTTTTGTGCTATTTTATATCTGTCCCAGTCCTCATTGGTTCTAGTGTTCTTCGCTCGATTGAAAAGTGTCCTGAGTACCTTACGTAGTTTCTCAAGTTCTGGCCCCCACCAGGAACTTTTACCCAGGCCTTTCGGTACGATGGTAGGACACGTCAGTTCGTAGCTTTTGAGAAGTGCTGAAGTGTAGAACTGTACGTTTGTTTCTATGTTGTTTATGTCAGGGAGTTCATCATGTATTTGCATCTCGCTTAGTGTTTTAGTTATTAGTTCTCAATATTGATGTCCAATGTCAATATTGATATCACCTAAAATGATTATATCTTGGAATGTAGAGTATTTGAGCAATGTTATATTTAAAGAGTGAATAAAGTCAGCTACATTTTTATAACCAGGTGGGCGATATATAGCAAAGGCTACTGTGTGTTTATTGAAGTAAATTAGCAAACAATTTGCATCTTGGATATCAATCTCTTCTATAGATAATAATTGTATTCTTTTTTGTAGTACACTACTACGCCTTCATTTTGTGTTATATTATTTGCCTTAGCTAAGTGAAGGTAACCTTCAATAGATGGAATATGTTGAGTCGATCGCAACCAGCACTCGGTCAACACGATACAATCCCAGCTCACTGAAGACATATCCAGAACAGGTAAAAATCCATCCATGTTACACCTCACACTACGTATGTTGTAGAATTTTGAGACAGTTACCAAAGTCCCGTAATTCCGCAAGAGAATTAGATATATTACAGCTTTTTGCTTCAGCCACGGAGAGATCGTCAATTTCGTTTTGAATACAACTTAACTCATTGAATTTTATAGCCGGTGTTCTTAGCGGGATTAATCCTTTCAGAAATAATATAATAGTTAATTCCCTCGTGTAATGTATTTGACATATAAATTTCATTGCTATCCGAATATTGCCAATGATAAAAATCCGTGACTATTTTATTACAGTTAACAGGGGGGAGAATTTTATAGTACACTAGCGGCCCGCCCTCGCTTCGCTTCGGTGTAGAGCTGAAGTGTACACTATAGTTTTTTTTCTCAGGCTTGTATTAAACACAATGACGTTCATCTATGATTCCTCTTATACCTGCATGCAAAGTCTCAGCCCGATTGGTTTAAAATTGACAAAGTTTCATACAAACTTTCATTCCCTATTTTATCCCCTTGGGGGTAGAATTGATCAAAATCCTTTCTTAGCGGATGCCTACGTCATAACATCTACCTGCATGCCAAATTTCAGCCCGATCCGTCCAGTGGTTTGGGCTGTGCGTTGATAGATCACTATGTCAGTCAGTCCCCTTTGACTTTTATATACATACTAGCTGACCCAGCGAACTTCGTACCGCCCTAAAAAAATAGGGGTTGTCCAGCGGACAAAATTGTGAATCTAAACCATTCTCAGATCCCCTTGAACACACACAAAAAATTCATCAAAATCGGTCCAGTCGTTTAAAAGAAGTTCAGTGACATACACACTCACAGAAGAATTATATATATAAAGATATAGATAAAAACGGTAATTTTTATTACCTGTATTTATAATCAAACTAATATTCTCATATTTACGTTATATAATCGGAATGCTCCGAACTGCTAAGCTATCAGGAGTTACACGTGTTATTGTGAGTCAACCATAAAAGATAGACATATGCTGTTGCGGAATATTTTTTAGATAATTTTATGTAGAATATTTTTACGTCATACATAATTTCTATGTAACTTTAACCATTAAGGCTGCACACGCGACGGAAGCTGAAAAAATGGAGTAACTTCTCCCGTTTTCCCAACATTTCCCTTCACTACTCTGCTCCTATTGATTTTAGCGTGATGAAAAGTATACTATAACCTGCCCAGGAGTATGAAGAATAATTGTACCAAGTTTCGTTAAAATCCGTCGAGTAGTTTTTGTTTCTATAAGGAACATACACACAGACAGACAGACAGACAAAATTTTTACTGATTGCATTTTTGGCATCAGTATCGATCACTGATCACCCCCTGATAGTTATTTTGAAAATATATTTCATGTACAGAATTGACCTCTCTACAGATTTATTATAAGTATAGATAATGCAAAGGCTTTCTTGACAGTTTCTTAATAATAAATTTACTCAATATGTTTTGTTTATTTTTATTTGGGTTCTCTACGTTTAAAACAAAAACTGGTTAAAGAACATCGATATTCATAAAGTAATTTTAGATTACAAACATTTGTGTTTTGGAAAATATTTAAATAATATATGAAATATAATGAAAAAAACATGTAACTTAAAAAATATAGTCAATTAGACTTTTTTAATTTAGTTAAATCTTCTTCACCGTCAATACGTATATGTGGATTATTTTTACTGCGTCTCAAATAAATTTTTCCATAGGATGTCCAGCAATGCTTATAACCGAATGTTTTTGCAAAGTCTCTGGCTAAGTAATGTAGTCTCTTGGCCTGTGGTGTTAGTGATTCCCCTATGAATATGTAATTTTGGGGACCTGACTGTCCCAATATGGTTGTTGAAAACTGCTGTTCTGGGTTTGTTTTGTTATAGGATTTGGCCGACTTGAGAAAATTATCTCTTAATACAGTAGTAGTGAAGTCAATAATTATAGGGCCATTGATATTTTGCTTCATTTTCATACGAAATGCATCTCGAATATCGCAATCTTGAATAGGCACATCTGTTAATTTTCCCACATTTTTTGTTAATTCTATCAATGAGTACCTATTTTCGGATTCCATTTTGATAACGTTTCTCATTTCTATTGAACTAGCCCTTGACTTTCTCTCGAATTGCTCAATTTTGGATTCCAAGTAGGTAATGCGTGATTTGTATTGAGAATTTTCCTGCTGTAAACTATTGAATTTATCCAACAGCTCATCATACTTATCGGACATAAACTCTAAGGATATTTTTATATCTATGTTTTGCTCTTGAATATTTTCCATTGCAGTTTTGAGTGTTTCCAATTTGGAATCCTGTTGCACTCTCAAATCCCCAATCATGGCCCTCAATTCTGTTAAAATAGAATTACTGGACTCCGTTGAATCTTCTAAGCGGCGCTTAAGTCTTTTTGTTTTATTATAATCCTGTTTATCCACACTATCTCCAACGTAAAGCGTCGAATCGGAGCCATAATGAGGAGGCACAGCGGTTTTTGAAGGTGTTCTTTGAAGTGCCATTGTTTGGTATTAGAATTTATAAGCGATCAATGAACAGTTCTAAATCAATCAAGTAAACGTATAAAAACAACAAGTTCTCTTCTTGTTATTCACGTCAGGACCCTTAACAAAAAGCTTTTCGCCTTTCGCTCCCGCCCGCAGTTTTAAGTAGATGCCAAAAATTAAGACTTACAGCGCGCGCCGCGCCGATGCGAGACGCTCCAAAGTTGCAACGAGCTTACTCCTATGTGTTGATTACACAAACCGTGCGCACACCGCACGCAGTGCTGTGTAGTTTGGCCCGATGTTGTTGTCTCCGCTGTTGGTATGCGCTTGTGACGTAAGTTCGTGCGCGCTTGCAGTGCAGCAGCTCTGGCCGATAGTGTTGTCTTCGCTGGTGCTATCCTCGTCGCACAGTCACTCTGCGTTCTACTGGCTTATGCACGCCTGGTAGTTCTCGGAATTTAAATTTTAATAAAAATTATGTGACACTTAAAAGCTTGAAACTTCAGCTTTTATGAGATATCATCATTATTAATATCCATGTATACTTTTTTTTATTATTGGTGTCTGAATTTAAATGGGGGAAAAATGGGATTGTGGATAAAGGAGTTGTGTTCAGAATTGACATAAAAAAACACGTTTTTTTCTTAAGTAGTATAAAATTTATTGGTTCAGTATAATTGGTAGTGTCCCTCCTAGCCTTAATTACAGCCCGTAGTCGGTTCTTCATCGACTTTATTAATTTTTTGACGTTGTCTTGAGGAATAACTTCCCATTCCTCTTACATTGAAGGCAGCTTGCCTTCAATTCTTCTAGGCTCGAAGGGGCTGGATTTCTTGCTCGTACCCTTTGTTTGATCTCGTCCCATAAATGCTCGATGGGATTTTAGGTCTGGACTGAGCGCAGGCCAGTCCATTGTGCGCAAATTGACTTCTCGAAGGAACTGCTGAGTAACGCGCGCTGTGTGGCATCGAGCATTGTCGTGCATTAGGATGAAGTCTTCGCCAACAAATCCTGCGTAGGGCACAACATGTTCTAGGAGAATATTTGTGATGTACCAATCAGCTACCAGTCCTCCTCCAGGTACGAAAACGAGCTCGGTTTTACCCTACAACGAGATACCAGCCCATATCATGCAAGAACCGCCACCATAGGCAACGGTTTCTGCGAAACAGCATTGGAAAATGCTCTCTCGGACGCCTGTAGACCAGGCCTCTCCTATCACTGCCATGCAGATACATCTTACACTCGTCAGTGAACAGGACCAACCACCACTGCCCAAAGCTCTAGTTGATGCTCTCGATCAAACTGTAGCCGAGCTTGCCGGTGGCCTGCAGTCAATTTGGGGCCCGTTGCAGGCCTTTTTTGAGTCAGGTTGGCTTCCTTCAGACGTCTTCTTACTGTCCACTTGCTGACAGTAGCTATACCTCGAACACGCCTCAGCTCACCCTGCACTTCGACACCCATAAGGTGCCGAATTCGCAGGAAGGTTGAGACAATGAAACCGTCGTCTCGTTCAGAAGTACAACGGTGGCGGCTGGTTGTTGGTCTCCGAGTGTATAAAAATACTCGGGATACAGCAGACTGACTCAAGTGAAGCTGGGAAGCGACTACTCGCTGACTGAGTCCTTGTTGCAATAAGGCATCAATCTGAGCGGCTTCTTGAAGTGTGGTATCCAGGGTTTCTTGAAAACAATGAATGCAGGTTGCGGAGATGTGTATCGGTCAACTCTTGATAAACGACTGGTAAGGGTTGATCTGTATCTTCATCTCGCTCGTCGCCGGCGCCGGTTGTTTCCTGCCTATCAAGCCTTAATACGTTCCAGTGCGGTAGCTAACCCAATACATAAAGACATGCACAAAAACCGTCCAAGTGCGAGTCGGACTCACGCACGAAGATTTATACATCATTAGACAGACACTAAGATGTGCGTGCCCTCCGAGAAGCCACAGTGGAAAACTTAGGTTTCGTATACACAACCTTTTAAAAGCTGTTGTTAGTCGAACGCTATGACTCTCCGAATGTGGTCTCTCACATGAAACGCCTCAATTTTCATATTTATTGTATCTGATCAATTTAAATAATTTTGATGAATGGTAATATTTAGAAGGTAATTTGTAGGTCTACATACAAAAGTTTGAGCTTTGCTGAGTGACTACAGCCAGAGTGTGTGGTCAACAGAAGGTCTGGAATGAAGGCAGTAGGTATGACTTTTGACATCGGGTGTTGGAGAGAACACGTATAGTTTAACTCGGACCATACGTCAAGGAAAAATTACCAACAGCCCTTCCAGCGTGATCGTTTGTACGTAGGGATGGGTTTCTGCCCCGGCATTTTGGGCATGTTCCGTATTTGCCCAATAAATGTCCTTAAGACTGGGCATTTATCTTTATTTAAATATTTGATGATTTTATAGAGAAGGCAAATTGTTTCTTAGGTTTTCACGCACATCACTTATTAAATAAAACTAGTTTTTACGGGTTAATGCACGAAACTTTATTTATTTATTGACGTTTCGTAGCCTTTACAGGCTTCGTCGTCAGAATAAAATTTTTATTTAATTTGTCGAGCTGCCTTCGAAAGACTTTTATTGAGCGTTTGGTTATTTCATTGTTCGATTTTTAAGTTTTATTGTCTATGTATGAATTTATTATTTAATTTACTTAATAAAGTATTTTATTTCAAATTCTTTTTTGTAATTTTGAGTTTATTTATTTGACCCTAACTACCGTAAACTACCACCGGTTTCAAAATTGGGAGACCTTTCTGAGAAGAACCGGCGAAACAAACTCAAGAGAGGCTTTCTATCTCCTTCTTATGTTAAATTATGCAAACAAAAAGAACTAATAGTATCTGATGGTCTTGCAGTGTGTGCTCGGGGTTGGGATTTTATCTCCTGTATAATAGGTTCCCAAGCTGGTGGTATATACCAACCATCTTCCCTATTGAAATTTGGATATTTTTTAATCTCAAATGCATGTTCACTCACTGCAGATTTACAGGGGGCCAAACCACTATATTAGATTTGATAGACCACAAATCCTTGCAGCTGAGCGGCGGTTCGTTCCTCGAATGATGCGCGAGGCTATTGAGATTAAAAAATATCCAAATTTCAATAGGGAAGATGGTTGGTATATACCACCAGCTTGGGAACCTATTATACAGGAGATAAAATCCCAACCCCGAGCACACACTGCAAGACCATCAGATACTATTAGTTCTTTTTGTTTGCATAATTTAACATAAGAAGGAGATAGACAGCCTCTCTTGAGTTTGTTGCGCCGGTTCTTCTCAGAAACGTCTCCCAATTTTGGAACCAGTGGTAGTTTACGGTAGTTAGGGTCAAATAAATAAACTCAAAATTACAAAAAAGAATTTGAAATAAAATACTTTATTAAGTAACTAAATTAAATAATAGATTCATACATAGACAATAAAACTTAAAAATCGAACAATGAAATAACCAAACGCTCAATAAAAGTCTTTCGAAGGTAGCTCGACAAATTAAATAAAAGTTTTATTCTGACGACGAAGCCTGTAAAGGCTATGAAACGTCAATAAATAAATAAAGTTTCGAGCATTAACCCGTAAAAACTAGTTTTATTTAGAAGGCAAATTCTTTTCTTTAAACTTTATTCAAAATGTATATTTCGGTCCATAAAATAATATTTTTGTGACAAGTGTTACGAAATATGATTAGGTATTATTCATTTGGGGTGGTTTGGGAACTACCAAAAAAATCATGAACTCAACAAATGGGTGATGCACAAGCATCTCAACCATTTGTGTTTATTTGTTTATTTGCATTCCTTTCGCACGATGCATAAGTGACCTTGAATAAACCAATCAGAGAGCCTCGATTCCCATCACCTTCTCTGCGTCTCTGGGTTGTTCTTTGTTGGTTATCAGATGGGTCAGTTTCAGACGCCCGTGTGCATTCGGCGTACCCGCGTACTTTAATAGTAAAAAAATATTTTTCATCATTTAGACAAAGTTTCGGCTATTTTGGGAGGTAAGTAATATTTCTCTTATTCTTGTTTTACTTTAAGGTTTTTTTTGCACTGATCATATTGGTGAAGCCAAGCCTGTGGGTGGCTATTTTATTTGATCAGTTAACAAAAATTATGGTAATAAAATATTCTCATTTAATATAGTCTTTTTATTATTACTTTACTTACCTACTTTTAAACTTAATATTCATCATATCAGCCGTACGACTCCCACTGCTGATCATAGGCCTCCCCCAAGGATCTCCACACCGATCGGTCCTGCGCCACTCGCATCCATCGGCTTCCCGTGACCTTCACAAGATCGTCGGTCCACCTTGTAGGTGGCCTGCCCACTGAGCGCCGTCCGGTGCGTGGTCGCCATTCCAGAACCTTTCCGCCCCAACAGCCATCGGTTCTTCTTGCTACGTGTCCCGCCCACGGCCACTTCAGCATAGTAATCGTTCGAGCGATATCGGTTACTTTGGTTCTACGGATTTCCTCATTTCTGATTCTATCGTGTAGGGAAACACCGAGCATCGCTCTCTCCATTGCTCGCTGTGTGACCTTGAGCTTTCTTATGAGACTCGCTGTAAAGGACCACGTCCCGCTTCCGTAGGTCATCACTGGCAATACACACTGGCCAAAGACTTTTGTCTTGAGACACTGAGGTAAATTGGACGCGAAGACTTTACGTAGCTTCCCGGACGCTGCCCATCCGAGCTGAAAGTTGGACTTACCCTAACTGGACTAAAGGACTTACCTAAAGCGGGTACTACATAGGCATTCGACTAAATTTTCGTCATATCCATGTTCATCTTAAGACTCACTTTTTGGGAAGCTCTACTAAGATCTTCCAAGGTTTCAGCCATAAGAACTAACATCGTCGGCGAAACGAAGGTGCGAAAGGTACTCGCCATTAATGTTAATGCCTCGTCCTTTCCAATCCAAAAGCATGAAAATATCCTCCAATGCTGCTATGAACAGTTTCGGAGATATCTCATCTCCCTGTCTCACGCCTCGCTGCAGTTGGATAGGATTAGAGCACTGGTTCTGTAATCGGACTGACAGTGGCGTTTTCGTAAAGGTATAATAATAATAATAATAATAATAATAATTTAATTTATTTGCCAAAATACAGTTCACAAGTTGATACATATTAAGTAAGTACGTGTATTCTACCTGCAGGCAGGTGTGCAAATATTGCAGTCAGTTATTTTTTTCATCTGTCATATATTCCTTAATACTATAATAACATTTTTTTTGTAACCATTTTGTCAACTTACTTCTAAACAGTGTCCCAGTTTCTAATTTTATATT